AAGGGAGGTTGGAAGAAAGGATGAACAGTTATGTGACAAAATAACAGAAGAGACAACATCCCCTTCTGCACTTTAAGTAACTGTTCTCTCTCCACAAACCTATAGAATAGGCATAACAATTCATATTTGATAGAAAAGTAACTGAAGGTCAGAAAACTTGATCATTTGACAGTCAACAAATACTTGCTCAGTGCCTCCCATCTGCAGGCACTGCAGAAAGAAGTACGACTGAGCCCAAGGTGACACAGCTGGCAGGGAGCAAAGGGAGCAACCAAACCTCATTGTGTAACCCCAAATCTATTCCATTCCACAGATAGCCCCTGAGAACAGCTTTGTTACGAGACACCAAAGTCAAAGGACCATTTCAGCAAGGACTATATGGTCTGTCTCTTTAGTTTGCACCTCTGCACAGTCAGTATTGAATTCCAATGCCAGCTTTCTCCACAGACAATCCAAAGTAGCCCCTAGTGGAATATTAGTCACAGCACTGTAACTGTAGATCTGGGAGCTGGGGGCCCATGTACCCTTTTCAGCCCAGTGGGCAGGACAGAAACATTCTAGCAAAGCTCTTTTGAAAAGTAAGAGAAAAAATTTAGCAAAAGTTTCTCAAGTTCCGTGATTCCCATATCAGTAAGTTCAGAAGCCATGGGATTTGGAAAGTTCATCTTTTTGGATCAGTGTCCAGTGATTCTCAAAGGCTGCCTCACACATCTGGGATCTATGCCTTCAGCTGGTTATGATATGTGCACAATTCCAGAGGCGCTGGAAACAATGTCTGCCATCCACTCTGGCTGGCCATCCCCACTGACCAGCCTGCTTCACCATTGCATCAGAAAATGTGCCAGTAGGGCTGGAGAGACAGCTAAGTGGCATAAGTGCTTGCCTGGCAAATGCAAGGTTCTGAGTTGGATCCTGGCCCCACATATCATGCTGGCCTCGGAACCACTGGGCATGCTGGTGTATGTCTGTAATCCCAGCACTTGGGAGGTTGAGACAGGAGGATCACTATGAGTTTGAGACAGAAGTGAGCACAAGGCCAGCCCTAATGGCATAGTAAGACCCTGTCTCAGAAGAAGAACAAGGGGAAGGAGGAGGAGGAGGAGGAGGAAAAGGAGGAGGA